TTTTGCCATTACATGTCGTGCAAATAAAGAGCATGGATGACACAAGCGTTAATGAATGATTGGTTTGAAAATCATCTTATACCTGAGGCTCGACAACATCTAAATTTGGTTGATTTACCTGATGACACAAAAATTATCCTGATCGTAGACAACTGTTTGGCTCATACTTCACTTAAAGTTTTAGTGAAAGATAATGTATTCACATTATTCTTTCCTTTAGAATGTATGTCCCTTATTCAGCCTGTGGATATTGAAATAGTGCTCACGCTAAAATGCAAATATAAAGTAGCATTTTTTTAAATCCATGTTCAATTTCTTGAACTATTCAAGAATTTTTGAAATATTTAGGCATAAAATCTGCTGTGTGAAGCATCACAGTATCATGGGAGGATGTGTCTCCAGATACTTTAAAAAATGCTTGGCATAATTTATGACCATGATTCTAGATCCAAAAAATACTGCTATCGATAGTGAAGAAAGTGACAGAGAGGTTATTGTAAACAAAATAATTTCAATTGAGAATTCTGGACACAGCCATTACAGGACTTGAACAGTAGAACTTTAAACAAGAAAGTGTATCTGTTTATAGAGTTAAAGAGAAAGTATTAGCACAAAAAATGAAGCAACTTAAACAACTTATGTTGAAAGAAATGGTTAATAAAGTAAAAAAATATAAGCCTTTTTTTTTTTTTTGGTGTGTGTGTGTGTAAATTTTGATTCCCATTAGATCAAAAATGCTCTTTATTTAAATTACGATTTCATATTTTTAATTGTATAATTTCTGCATGCCATCTTACTAGATTTAAATTGATGATCTAATATCCGGAATTGCCGATGTCCCGATGAGTCCGTATCTTGGACTTTGTACTGTATATAAAATATGGCAAATTCCTGGAAATAGCAAAAATGTTGAATAAGTATACGCGTATAAATAAATCACTCTATGAATATGTAGGTTTTTTTTGATTTTCTAATAAAAGAATATACCAAAAGATTTTCAGAGTTTGATAAGTGCACTTGTGCTATTAAACTGGCATTTGAACCAAATTTAGTGGATATATATACAGCTTCTACAAGACTAAAAATGGAGTTATTTGAGTTGCAGAAGATAGTATCCTCAAATCTCTTTTTGATGCTAATAGGGATCCCATAGACATCTGGAAAAATGCATGCACACCATTTATTTTCCTACCTTGGAAGTACTTACTACTGCAAGCCAATATTTTCTTTCATGACAAAAATTAAAACTGGTTTAAGAACAAAAATTACAGATGCTCATTTAGAGGATCTACTAAGGCTGTGCATTACGAAGCTTTATCCAAATATTCAATTACTTTCAGGCAAGAAACAAATGCAAATATCCCACTAAATTAAATTTTCCATCAGATTTTAGCATTATTACCATATTGATTAGTTTTTAAACTTAATATGGTACTTTTTTTTTTTCTTTGTAATGCAGTAAATTTATTGAAAAATACTTCTACTTTTTTATTTTTATTTGAAACAGCATTTAAATATATATAGTTGTTTATTAAAAAATTCTTAAAGATTAATGTTATAATAAGTTATTAGTCATGTGCGAATACAAAAATATTGTATATTATAAATCTTTATTTTAATACGTGACTTGTTTTGATGTAATTAAATACTTCTAGCTTGGTACTTCTCAAGATGTAGTTCACATGCAGTTTACAAGCTGGCCGGATTATGGTGTTCCTTATTCTGCTTTAGCAATGCTCGATTTCCGTGATAAAGTACGGCTGAAACAAGCTGAAGCAGTAGCTGCTATCGGAGAGCATTGGCAAGGCCACCCATTAGGCCCTCCCATAGTTGTACATTGTAGTGCTGGAATTGGTCGAACAGGTAAGCTAATAACTACTACAGTAATTATTAACTTTCATACAAAGAGTTAAAAAAATAGTAATAATTAGGTAGAGAAATAAAAGACTAGAAAAAAATTTATTCCCTTTGGAGCTTTTTTTTTCTGGGGGTTCTGAATTTTTGTTATTCAAAATTAAATATTTAAAAGAAATTTTTAAAGCAAAAATATAAGCATTTATAAAAATTGCTCATTAATCATAATTTTATTTATTGTAATTTTACTTATTTTTTTAAATCTCTTTATTTTGACTGTTTTTCTCAATTTTCACAACTTATTGCATGTGATTTTTTACTTCTATTAATAATGTAAGTTAGGTGGCTCATAAAGCAAAAATATAAGCATTTATAAAAATTGCTCATTAATCAGAATTTTATTTATTTTAATTTTACTTATTTTTTAAAATCTCTTTATTTTGACTGTTTTTCTCAATTTTCACAACTTATTGCATGTGATTTTTTCTACTTTCTTATTAATATTGTAAGGTAGGTGGCTCATAAAGACCTTTCTATAACTGACAGTTTCTACTTCTTTCTGATTCTGTGACCTTTTAAATTGAAACTCTCCATAAAGCTATTGAAAGTAAAATTTTGTATCAGTTTTGAAATTCTTTCTGGTGTATTAGTTTCTGGGTGGTCCCCCCTTTTTAATATTTTTCTGGTGTATGAGTTTTTAAGCTATTGAAAGTAAAATTTTGTATCAGTTTTGAAATTCTTTCTGGTGTATTAGTTTCTGGGTGGTCCCCCCTTTTTAATATTTTTCTGGTGTATGAGTTTTTAAATAATCATATCTATGAAAAAATAAATTGGTACAAACATTAATTACATTTAAATAAAAGAGAAATTTAATAAGCATATTTGCTCTCGCATATGTTAAATCCTTTTGATAAATAAATATAAATTGTGTGATGTATCTGTAGTATTAAAAGAAAGTGTACTCCTAACAATAATAGTAAATTTCTATTTAATTAATTTATGATTAAAAACATGTTGAACATAAATTTATGGGAAAATAGACATCTATGATTTTATTTTGTGATTAGTGCTTTTTAAATTTAGTCAAAATAGCTATTTGTTTATCTAATTGTTCATATTAATTAAATATAGTTTTTTGGCTTCTAATGGTATAAATATATCATAATTTAATGAGGAATATTTTTAAAAAATTCTCAATTGAATTTATAAAAAAACTATGTAACCTATTTGATTTAGTCTCTATGTGTTTATAAAAAACATTTAACTGCATTTAGGATATGATTGTTGATCATTTATATCAGCGCCAGATCTTTGATTTTTCTGATGTGGGGCAAAAGCTAAAACTGTCGCCCTCACCCATCATACTTTAAGTTTCTCTAACAAGTTTTAATTTGTTTAATAAATACTACAGAAATAGATAGGATTTGAGGTAAAAACCTAAGCTCCATTTTAAATTCTTTACTTGCCCTTTTTTTTTCTTTTTTTTTTTTTTGTTATAAAGGAAAATACGTACCAAATTTACATAATTAGATAATCGTCCTCTCCTAGGAGAATCGCCTTTCTGCTGAGCCTACTTTCGGATTCAATCCTAATCCTAACTCTAACCCTGAAGTGCTTCTAACCATCCAGTCCTCGCCACCATTTGTTTTTCCGCTCTAGAGGGAACGGGCATCTCCTAAGCTTCTCACTATTCTGTATTATTGCATACTAGTTAAATTAGATTAGATTATATGAATATGGCAAAGACAGGAGGGCTATCTGAAGGAAGGCTTTGCTGAAAGGAAATATTCTGAAAAGATTATACAGAATATGGGCTATTACTGAGAGTATTTGTGCTTCCTGTCTTGTTTTTCATACTTCCTATTTCAAAAGTAATTAAATCTACCTGCCTTAACGCCATGACGGATAGTAACAAATTAAAATTTTACTCTGAAAGCCTTTGTTTGCTAATAAGTGCAGGAATCGTCATAATTGATCTGCGGTTGATTCGGGTTTCCAGGATCGAAGACTTGAAAGCCCCTGGCTCACCATGATCATAGATATTTTATATGTTAATTTGCTGTAACTTGGATCGAAATAAATGTTCGTGTTCTCCGACAGTTCATCAGATTTTTTGTGCTTTGAATTCTTCGTTGTCAGATAGACTCAAATGATTTTTCAGCTATGTTTAGACTTTGTATCCAATATTCCATATGATTTCTCCCATTTTTATATCCCCGTTTTTTATGTTTCGTTAATCACAGAACGTGGAAGAGAATTTTGAATTTTATATTTACTCGATTGAATTTGGAAAAAATTAGTTCAAATTTTCAGGTTCTCCTCGTGCTTTGATTCAACATATCAGAATATCTTTAATTTTTTCTAATATTTCATCCGGTAAATTCATTAGAGGACTTTTACAGCCTCATTTTCCCGACCACTCGTCTGGCGCCTCCTTTTAAGTTGTATTTTGTAATTTTTCAAATATCATCGAGTTCCATCCGACAAAAAAAAAAAAAAAAAAAAAAAAAAAAAAAAAAATTTCTGGTAATCCAAACGATAACTGCTTCGGTGCGAAAAACAAAGCACACAGACAGATATGAGGTGTGAGCCAAACATGGACAATTCCTACAGCTTATTATTTTGTAATCCTAGGTACTGGTTTTAGACTGCCAGCCATATTGACCAGTTGTCGTAAGACTGCACCCATTGTCATATCTAAACATCAAGGTCAACCATTAAGACACTAATTTCTACAAGCATTCAGAATCTTGTCCATCTTCCACCAGTTCTATGAAATCAATTAAATTTCCTTTATCTACACACATCACCACACGTTTTTACGTTATGAATCACCTGGTTCATTTTTTTCTGTATGAGCCATAGGGAATGCAGCGGCCTTATTGTGTACTTAGGCTTCTTTAATATCGTTTAAAATGCTACTTCAGCTGTTTGCTTTATTAATAATTCATTTTGATTATCTTTGATATGTTCCTTCCCTGTGTTTTTGCTTTGGCTGGTACTTAAGTTGAATATGTTGGCAAGCGAGAGATATAAATTAGAAAATTTCCTTTGCAGGTAGGACACTTTGTGACAGGTTACTGGGATTTCATCAGATCAAGAGAAGACAGTTGGAAAGATACAGTGCCGCACCATGACTATATAGAATCTCGCCATTTTTTTCTCTGTGTGAATGATCATCAAGTTGTTAGAGTGCTCAGAGTTGTGATCGAAGCTTGGCACGATTTCGTTTGTACTCTAATTTCCACGTATTATGCACCTCTGTGGATTCCAGACGCTTGGTGCTCAGTAATCTTGTTAAAATTTGAAGCCTAGCAGGTGGAGCGGCAGGATCATGTTTTGGATAAATCTTGCAGGGTTCAAAATTGCATTCTTTGTTTTTAGAATATGTAAGCCAGATCTTCTAACTTTATTATATACTAATGTTCTGTATCATAAGTTGCCATCATGTTCAATAGCACTGAGGTTTACGTTCGGGTGTACGGCTAAAATACTGATTGACTGCTTAGAAAGGATTGTTGGTGATGTTAATTTTTCTATGACCAGCAAAACTGCGTTGGTCAACAAATAAAAAAATTTTAGATTTTCGTCTTTCTGCTGCCGCCCCCATATAAATAGAGATCTTTATACCATGGTTTCAGTCCTCCGTTTCGTGTGATGTCGATGAAGAAGGTGGTCTTCAAATGCTGATTTGTAGAGTTGAGGAAGTATATCAGTCATGTTTGATTGCAGATTGCAAGAAATATTAATACCCTCTAAATCGCAACACAATCGATTGCGGAGGGTCTTACGGTTACTTCTCCGGAAGTTATTTTTCATCTTAGTGAAATTTTTTCGTTGCCCTTATTTGGCTCGCTTATATTCTCTTTTCTCCCTCGGTGCGCAGCGGTTTTTTAATCTAAATGAAATTCACTATAAATTGCCTTAATAAGAATAACTAAGAATTGATGTAATTACACTGAACCGTCCTAAATAAATGGCCGCGTCTCACTAAATATAGTGCGGGCTATTAAAAGCAAGCATATTTTAAAAAAACTAAAAGAAAAAAAAAGAGTACAGAAGAGACCTGAAAACTAAAAAATAACCATACAACTAATAAATCTAGCTTTAAAATCCAAAATATGCTCCACTGTTCTGAGTCAAACCAAAGGTGAGCCTATGTTGCCAAAGAAATCTAAATGCCTTGCTTCATCTTGAAGACATAATGATGGTGTCTTGTATATACTCCACGATATTAATGTGAATTATTTCATTTGTCCAGGATGGCCAAGGTTAATTTTGGGGGTTAGCTCTTAGAAAATAGTTACAATGCTCTCCATTTCCAGCAGATGTTGTATGAAAATCAGGTGACTTCAACAAGCTATCGTTCTATTTCTCCTTTGAATCATCCCGCCCAGACAGGAATAATGAGGGACTCCAGACATTACTGATGGGTCATCTGATTCTATCAATGATGCCTGAGTCCCTCTGTTGGCCTCTTTCTGATCTTATATTTCTACTTGTAATCGGTTGTACTTAACTTTATTTTACTCATGTCCTTTAAAAGGGTCTTAGTATTTAATTATAAATCTTCTTAAAAGAGGTTTTTAAACTTGGCCTTAAAACTATTAACATTGTACTAAAATTAGAGAGCTGTTTTAGTGAACAACATATCAAATACAATCCAGCGTTATATTTGAATTTGCCACCCGGGGCAAGAACCCCCCCCCGGCTAGATCCAGGACTGGTTCATAATGTGTAGTCTTTTCTTGAAATTAAAGTTGTTACACCTTAATCCTGTTATTTTAGAATTGTTAAGTGCATATATCATTGAAATTATGTAATTCAATAAGCTATTGATACCTGTTTTTGCAATATTATCTGATGAATGAAAGCTTACACATTGCATTTATATTATGAAAGTTTTTAGTAAATGTAATCACTCCAGTTAATTATGTTATAATTATTATTCTAGCAGATTACATTCTAATGGGAGAAAAATTGTTTTAAAATGTTGCTCTTAACATTAGCATTTCAAAAGTTTATGAAGAATAAATTTCTCTTAGGATCCTGAAATTAGGATCTATCATTATGAAACTGAAAGTACAAATATTTTAATGAGATTATTTAAGGATCTAGTGTGATGCAAAGTTTTAAGATTTATATACTAGAGCTTGCCTTCTCAGCAAACCTACTTAGTACAGCAAATATGTTCACTATGCATATACACTTTAAAATTTTATTGTTTATTTGTTTCAAGTGACTAGTTGTGAATATTATTATTATTATCATTAAATTAAGAATCAGAGTTGTTCTTTCCTTCATTGCATGAATTTTTATGTATCTTCTAGGAACTTTTATAACTTTGGATATCTGTATCAACAGATTAGAAGCTACTGGCCTCATAGATATTGTAAAAACTGTTGAAAGAATCCGAGCCCAGCGAGCATATAGTATTCAAATGCCAGATCAGTATGTATTTTGTCATTTGGCATTATTAGAGTATGCTTTAAGTCGGGGTCTCTTAGAAGATGTGGATCTTTCTGGCTTCAGTGATGATGATTCTGAATCTGAGTAATGCTGTAAGAAAAATTCATTCCGTCTGACCATAGTAATATCATCATTTTTATGTGATTTTTCATTATTCTATCTGTTTTCTAAACAATGCCCTGAAACTCATTTAAATCAAGCTAACCTCACTATATATTGCTATAACTACCTCGTACTTATTCTGGAAAGCAATGTGAGGACTCATTCTATGTTGTATAATAATTCAAGTATCTGAGTATTTTTCACATGGCTTATATGAGATGTGAAGTGAAATGAAATTGATGTTATTTCTTAATATCTTTAGAAGGAATCTTTCATATTAAATCACTTCATGTTTTAATTTAATTTTTTGTACTTAGAGTAAAGAAGTATTTTGTTTAATTTTACATGTAAACACATAATTTAACCTTTTGTTCTATATCCTTTATACTATGTTATATTAAGATGAGACACATACTAAACTGCTATAGTGTTAACTCTGTAATATAATGAATGATTTTTATGCTATTATTAATCATTTTGGGTATTTCTATAATTCATAAAAACTGCAGTTTATATGTGCATTTTAAGTGTTATTTTATTGTGTTGTAAATTCATATATTCGAAATATTAGTTTATCTTAATTTTTAAGTTAATTTAAGAATCAAGCTAAATGCTATAAAAGTCCTCAAAAGTGCATCACTGAAAGTTATATATAATGACAAATTATAGAAAAATCATACTGTAAATTAAATAAAGTATGTTTACTACTGTTTATAATTTAGTCCTGAATAATGGTACCCGACTCATCAGTATCCTTGATTTAATGGTTGTTTTCATTTTTCAAACCTGAAATATATAAAATAAGTGTAAAATTATGCTGTGTTAAAAATTATTTTCAAAAATTAAATTTTTGGTATGTATTTTTAAAATATGAAGGAGCTAAATAATTGGTTAGCACAGATACAAATTTTAGCATTTATAGCTGGCTTAAGACTATTCCTAAATTTAACAATAATTTTAATATTCCTTTGGTAGTCATTAAATCAAGGTCAGATTATATTTCGCGGAGGTATCATTATTTAGCTCTAAACAAATGTGAAATATACTTAAAAAATTACATTGACTTAAAATTATTGATTAGCACATTAAAGAGTGATGATATTTTCATTATACAAAGAAATTCGTGTTTTTTAAAAATAGTGTTAACATCCATGTGCTTTAAGATCTGTGATAACTGCAATGAATGCAGTATACCACTTTTTGTTAACTGGAATCAAAAAGTGTATTTTTATTGCCACTGGAAGCATACTTCAACTTTTAGGGTTACAACCATTTCTAAACATAACTAATTAAAAATACCTGGTTGAAAAGTAGTTACCATTTTGTTGCATTAATAATATTTTTTTATTTATTTTGTGATCATTAAAATCAGCATTAAAGCTGACTGAGCATGTGTTTTTTCCCATATGTTCAACATCCTTTGCTTGAAAAGAAGGAGCAGTTTTACTTTATTTAAGTGTCATTGTCTTTTGGGCTTGGTATAACTTTTTATAGCATAAAGAGGTTTGGTGACAAAAACAACAGTATAATTTTCTGTAATATCAACACATTAAAAATGAAAAATTTCATTCCATCAGATTTAGAATTCATTGTACGAATTCTGTTTTGCCACTGCAAAAAGCGATGCATCAGCTCTGTAGTTGGTAGTCATACAATGTAAAGTCTGAGATTTGGAATCACCTACAAATTGAGTGAATCAGAAATTTCTGAATTTTAGATCATTAATTCATGTCTAGTGAGATGACATATAGAAAATATAAAATTAAAAATATGAGATGATTATTTATAAAATAATGAAACTTTTTTTACCTTAAAGGAGCAAAAATTTACACCCACCAAAAGCATTCGTTTTATTTTAGTAAACATTTTTTTTCAACAAATCGTTTAAGCAGTTTCATTCTTTGTGTTAAAAACTTTCCCTTTAATATAATAATGTAATTACTTGTTCAATTATAAAGTTATATTGCCAATGTCCTATACTGCTATGTCGAGGGGGTGGACACTTCTTACTGCTTTTTTTGGGGAACAAATCCCCCCTTTTTATCACTAATTATCATTAGTATAGTTGGGCTTCTTTCCTGATGTAGTGACGTTTTCGCTCTTAATTTTGTTTTTCTCTTCCATGTGTATGTTTATAATTTCGGATTTGCCAAGACAAGTGGCTATCCTACTTATCAAGAAAGAGTTATTCTGCAAAAAGAAAGATAATTTTTGAATAACCACTTTGTGAGATTAAAATATGACTGAAATCTGAAATAGCAATATGTTCTGAGTTTAAGGACCATACTACAGATTTCACCCCTCTATTAATTGGTTGATGATCAGAGTATTGTCATCTCAATGGATTTCAGTTATATTATCTTCATATTGTTTTCAAAGTTCTTAATCTGTGGCTGTCTATATGAAATTTGGAAGCTGATTGTAAGTTATGTCAAGTAATTAAAAAATATCTGTAGACATATCCTTTCATGATCTTGTAATGCTCCATACAGCAGATTTTTACTAAAATATTTCAAGAATTCTTGGATGGTCTAACTACTGCATCAGTTTCAAAAAGGCTACTTTATATTTGCATTTCATTGTACACAAAATTTCAGTACCTTTCATCTGAATGATGGATATACAGTTTAAAGAAGAGTGCAGTTCATAGTACTGAGCTTAAGTTCAATGAATGTTTCTTTCTTCCTTCCTACTATGCCAGCAAAAGAAAACCACTGTATGTAACATTCCCCTCCAAACAAATATGGATCTTTGAGCTTCACTTATTGTTTACAAAGCTAGATGGAAGATGGGAAAATGCTGGCCCCCTCCCAAAAAAACTACTGAATGGTCAAAAATTAAAATGTGATTCCACTAATTGGTAGGTGTTGAAGGGCAAAACAAACTATGCAGGATAACACCATATTATGCAGATTGTGATGTTTTTTTAGCAAAAGAAATATCTGCTAATCTGGAGAAAAGTCAATTTATGGCATTCTTGCTTATTCTTAAGTGCCATATTTTCTGCAATATGCAAAAGAAATAAATTAAAAAAGAAATCTGAGGTACAGATCCAACAATAGATCATTCTAATTATTGGTTCACCATATTTGAAACTTTGTACTGTAGTTGTGTGATCTTGACACTCCATTAGTGTTATCAGCCAAGTAGCTTCCATGCTTGTTTAAAGTCTGCTCTTAAAGAAAGTTCTTGTCTAATAGTATAATTTTAATGAAAAGTAACAACTGTATAAAAATTGGAAGATATTTTAATGAATTTGCAAAGCTTTAATTACTTACGAAGTATGAGAATATCCCACAAGAATACTGACTGGTTATAAAAACGTTATTACTATTATTTCATAGTAGAAAAATATATATATTGGTGTAGTGTTATTTATATTCTTATTATTTGAAATATTTTATGTGCTGTGCAGTTTTTTTTATATATATATATATAGGTGTAAATTAGAATGCTTAAATATATTTTGTTGTTGACAAATTTTGCCGTTAAATTCACTACTTTTGACTGATCCAGCTTTGATGGAATTATTCAAAACTGAAGATAATTATTATAAGTTTTGTGGGAAAAGTATTAACTCTTTCATTATATTTTTAGTTGTTGGTTTGAAAGTAGTTGAAAAATAGTCATTCTGATTTTATTCACAAAAATAACTGAGAAGTTTCAAAATCCATAATAATGTATTTTATTATAAGGCTTCTCTCCTTACATTTATAAGTGTTACCTATTTTTCCCTCCATTTATTTGTGATTTATGTTTCATTATTTTAATAATTATACTCATTTTAAGTTATGCATAAAATAATTATTTCTTTAAATTCTAGAATCATTTCTGAAGTTCGTAATTTAAAAGCATTAAGTTGGGCTTTTCCAGTGACATACAATTGGTTTTAAAATAAGTTGGAACTAATGACATTTAACCTGAAAGTGAAATTCTGCATTTAATTAGAATCATTTAATTCAAAACAGAAGCAGAGGCTAATAAACATCAGAAATTTTAATTATTTTTGCAAAATTTAACACTGTGAGAATGCATTAAACATATACAATGACAGCCAGATTTAATTGGTAAGTCTCAAAGACCTCTTTAGATGAAAAAAATTGTTATAGTGTGCTGTTACATAGTTCAAGATTTTATTGTTAATCATTATGTAAACAGTCTTCCCCCTCTTTTTTTTTCTTTTTAAAGGGCTTGATTTGCATTCACTTTGCAAGTTGCATACTTTATGAAGCAACTTTTGTGACAGAATTTATAGGTAAATTCTTTCATGTGTTATTGGAAAAGAAACATATCAGTCTAAAATTTAAAAATTAGGCAAAAAAGCAAATTTATTTTTAATTAAATTTTTGCAATTTTTTGCATCTTTTCGTGTGAAGTAATTTGCTCCTGAGAAGAGGGAATATTTCTGATTGCACTTGAAATCAATAGAATTTTATTCGAAAAGTTGCTTTTTCTATAGTTCTTTCATGCATATATATAACTTTATAATCTAAGCAGTATTACTCATTAGTTTTATTTTTCCTTTAATTTTGAAAGTATTGAAGAACTTTAAACAACACATTACTTTAATAGGTATATATAGCTATTGAATATTTTTAAAAAAAATTTCCTTTATACCAAAATCAAATTTCTTTTAATGTTATTGAAAAAAGAATTGTATCTTTATAAGAAGTATTTTAAAATGAAATATTGGATTTACCTAAAAATTATTTTTCTAATATTGATCTTTAAAAACTACCCATTTAATAAGTAGCTTGTAAAATTTTGATTTCTATCTGTTATTATTTTTTACTGGTGGTTTTCTAAGTGTAGTTAATATATACACAGTTTTTTAAAATTTATTTGCTCTATTTCATATAGGTTCATGATGTTAAAATGTTGGTTTCAAAAATAAGTATTAAAAATACTTAGGTAATAGTTATACATGTAAAGGTTTGCATTTGAATGGAGTTCTCTCAGTTTCTGAAAAATATGCATATCATTAAAATTTCTTTCTTTTAAGATAAAGTAAGTTGTTTGTTATAGTTGCAAAGAAAAATAACTACCAAATGAAGATAGCTTTCTGAAAATCGATATG